CCTGCTCCAAGCAGGATCATCTCCCTCCCTAGGCAGGGCTTCAGCTCTTGCCAGCGATAAACTGTAACTGCTCTAACTGGATAGCAACATGGTGAATCACAAACTGACAGCACAGAGCACCAGGAGAAGGCACCAGCAGCTCCAGCTGCTTTCCAGTATCTCTCTCCATCTCCCTGTCTCTGCACTGTGGCTTTCTCAAGCTCTTCCCACCCCTTACCCCGAGTGCCATGCTGTATTAAAAAAAAAAAAAAAAAAAAAGAGGACAAGCTTGGGAAAGGAGTGGGATGACAACAAAACAGAACCACCAACCCCCAGCTCCTGCCCAGATTAAAGAGCAATCCTCTCACCCACACGGATCCGCTCCCACTGGCAGGGCTGAGCTCCAAGGATGGTCCCTCATCCTCCTCCCAGGGCAGTGCCATGGGAGCTCAACAAAAGCACCCAAAAGCACAGGAGAACAGGATCCTGCCATAGATGGGAAGGTGGAAACCAGCAGACTCAGAACTGAGCTCCCCCTGCCTATCCAGGCCCCTCTCCCTGCACACAGAGCAACTGCAGATGCTCAGTATTAAACTGCATCACAGGAGAACAGGATCCTGCCATAGATGGGAAGGTGGAAACCAGCAGACTCAGAACTGAGCTCCCCCTGCCTATCCAGGCCCCTCTCCCTGCACACAGAGCAACTGGAGAGGACTGGGAGATGCTGAGCATTAAACTGCACCCCCAGAGTTAACACAACCTTCTCTCTCAGGCTCCTTGCAGCATGGGAGAGACAAAGCAAGCCAAACTGAACAAAATCTCCACTTCAGGCAGGAGACTGGAAGAGTCATTTCAGATCTTGTGCCTTGTCTGTGATGAGCTTTATGAATCCCTTTCTCTGGGAGCTGCCACGAGCTCAGGTGTTGGACACTGGGGTAAGACAGTGGCACAGGTATCCACCTGCCCCCCTCTGCACAGCCCATGGGAGCTACAGCTCACAGCTCAGTTTGAAGCTAACAGCATCCAAAAACTTAAACCTGACCAACACTACAACTGTGGGTACAAGTAAAACCCACCTGAATACACAAACAGCTTTCAGAGAATGGGTTGGATCACCTATT